GGACAATTAACCCAGGCTGTTTTGGCGTTTCCATTGAATTTTTTTTTAATTTACCGCTCCCTAAGCCAGTGCACAACACTGTGCTGGGAGAGTTTTTGAAGATGCTCATTTATGTATATATATTCGCTTGATGCAAGACAACAGACACCTACTTGTAGCCGAATCTGAAGCTGAATAAGTCGGAGTGGTCCCAACGAAGCCTCCTCTCTTTCTGCCGTGGCAAGAGTCGGGCCTGTAACTGCATACCCAAAAGAAGCAGAGGAAATAATTTCTGTACTAAGGAAAACCGCGAGATCATTGAAAAGAAAATAATCGAAGAGTTAGCTGCAAATCCGAGGCGTTTGTTACTAATGTAAAAATGATTGAATAAAATATGTTAAACAAAAATTTATTTATATAATAATATTAGATATCTAATGGCCTTATTCATAAAAAATAAAGTAGCTTTATAAAAGGTTTATAAATTGAAAAATGTATGAAAACGTCAATTTATAAAGCTCTTTAAACCTACTTTATTTTTTATGAATAAGGCCATAAGCTTTTTGCTAAAATACGTACATACATAGGCTTTCACTTTGCCCGGAAATTTATTTCAAAAATATTTTATCCACATTTCTTTTGAATGTATTTCATATTTTTTGATACAAATGAAAAAATTGCCGAAGTTTTTAATCCAAGTTGAAAGATTCAAGTAAATTTGTGCATAGCTTGCATATATTTGATATTATGCAGCGTCCAAGCGATGGCTATCGAGTCAACACCAACGCCGATGTCTTCGATGATCGTACGCTCAAAGTCTGTGATGAAATCGGATTGCAATCGGAACATAAACCCGTTACCGAGGAAAGCCTAAATTTACAATTAAAATATGGTAAATCGCATCTAAGCAACCCCAGCCATGACTCTACCGATGCACGTAACGGTTATGCAACTGTATTGAGTGAAAACGGTAAAAATCGCACACAAACAGATAATCGCAATGTGGACTCTGATCTAAACTCATTGATTGGCAGTATGATGAATAAGAATAATAAAATTCCATATTACAAGCGTGGTGCCTTCGAGATAAACAACAATAAAAGAGTCATTGGCATAAACAGCTGTAATAGCAGCGATACTTTGACGCCGATGGGCACGGTTACAACAAATGGCAATAAGCACTGGCAGAATTTGTCAAGACGTATGTCGATGCATGCGGCACGACCACCAAATATGATTCAGAACGAAAGCGATAGCAACGACACGGACACATTGAACTCGGAACGAAATGCCGGTGTGCATTACAAAGCCTCTCCACGCACAGATTCCGCCTCCAAATGCTCATCACATTCATTCAGCGAAGATTTATACAATGAATCGATGTCATCGGCATTCAGTGTGTTGGGCAAGAAAAGTTCCACGATGCTATTGGACAGCAAAGCCAGTATTCAAGCGAAAAATGTGAATGAAACGCGCTGTAAACGTACACCATCGAGCAGCAGCTGGCCGCAAGAGTCTGAAATTAATTTCGTAATGCTTGTGGGGCTACTCCTCGCGCTATTTGTGTCGAAGGTACTACAATATCTACTATCGTACTTTGCTTGGTTCCAAAGTCAAGTGCTGCATATTCGAAACATATTCCTAGGCAAAAATGACAGTATATGGGATTTCTGCAACTTTGATGACACATCCCGTTACGGTCTGCGCACTAAGCTTTTGCTGCTGCCAGTGGTGGCCGCCTGTTCGTTGCTTTACGGTCTGAGCTCGGTGTTGCACACCACCATAAGTTGTTTGCTTACACAAGCGCCAAGTAGCGTGATTGTTTTTATACAAAAACTATATTTGCATGCTTGAGCGGGGCAAGGGAGAAAAATAACTTATTTATGTACTTACCACGCACTTTTTGTTACATCTGAACGCCTTTTGTTTTTCCCATAATCCTTTTTGAAAATACATACTGCAATAAACAGGAAATTATTCTTAATTCATTCGAAACATCGTTTTATTTCCCATCGGTTGGGGTTTGCAATGCTTTGCGGCAGCACTTGTAGGTGTGCACAGGTACCAAGTCCCTGAAAATTTTGTATTTGGTACACAAGTCGGGCTCACTCCTTCGACTCGCGTACATAGACAGACGGCAACTTTGATCCGGATTAACGGCGCAGTTGATCTGAACAACCTCAAGCCTTGACAGACGGCAGTGATGCGGATTTACGAGCCGCGAGGTCGTTGGTTCGAGTCCCACGGCCAGTAGAATTATAACTTCGCAGTGTAGCACGCGGACGCGAGCCGCCGCACCAGTATGCTAAATAGTGCCAATTGACTTTATTTGCGTTGATTTTGTTACTTGCCACCTGTTTGCAACTTATGTTTATCTATTTATTTTTAATAATTTTCATTTAAAATAAGAACCAGAAACCACATAAATGTAAGCTTCAAAGCTTGCACAAATTTCATAACAATGAATCAAACTTAAAAAAATTTTCTCCAAAATTGCAAACTTTTTAATCAGAATTTTTAGAAAATTTTCGGCTATGCAGTTAAGTAGCCCATTCAATTTTGCTCTAATAATGTGCTCTAATAAGTCTCAAGTCGCTAAAAATTACCGTTGGTTTTTTTAATTTTTTTGTTGTGGAGGGTGTTGCGCATTTTCTTCCATATAATGCCGAATTTCCACTAGGCATTGAAAAACGAAAAGTTGGAGACATTTAAAAAATGCCATGTGGAAATGAATTGATTGAATATTTTTTTTTACGTAATGATACGAATATTTTTTAATGCCCAACTTTGTCATTACAATTTTTGTCATTTAATTCCTAGTGGAAAATCTTTTTCTAACCGAAAAAAGGAGGAGGTTATCAGTTCGTCCGACTTTTTTTTTTTAAGTATAATACGTCGTACGTTTCGGTATGGATGCCATGCTCAAATGGGGTAGTTGTAATTTTTAGATCTTCACAAGAATGCTTATTGCACCAAAACTAATGAAGCGAAGAAAAATGCGGCGTTTCAAAGATGAAATTCCAGATTTATCGACAGATTTATTTTTGTAAGTGATTAGTTCGGTTTCTGTCGTAGAAACAACGGTAAATATTGGCTTATTTTGGGGTCAATTTTGAGCCTTTGAAGTGCTCTAGGAACTTAGGTTTTGCAAATATAACTTTCATTTTCAGAATGTAAGTTCTTCACAGCAATAGAAATATTACAAATTTTATATAAAAATTCGACCAAAATTTAACATTTAAGACAACAAAATGTTGAAATAATTAGCTTTTCTTATAATCAAAATGCTCGAAAACAGCTCGAATGATTTTCTTTTTCTTTTCTTTAATAAAAAAACTCATGTTATTTCCTTTCGTTTGGTATATGGGAAAGTATTGGTTGATATCTTCTAAGTATCTTTATTTGAATCAAATAAATGGGCATAAATGAGTTTTCATACGAAATCACTTCGTTATCATTTTGCAAACATGTACTTGCGTTGTATGTAAGAAGTAGACAAAAAGTATTGTGTATGCGTGTGTATTTCGGCTTTTGAGTAACAGATGGCGCAGCTCCGGTGAAATATTTGTGGCATAATTGATTGGAGCTAATGTTGATATTTTACTATTTTAGTAATATATGTATGTACAAATGTATATATGTATTACATATCGTCACCTGAAATGCAAAAAGACGTAACAACGAAATGGAAAAAGTCGTGACTAATATTTTAATTTTTCTTTTTCATAAAATAATGCGGGGAGTTGTAATTCGATGAAATCCATCATATAAATCAAAAAGTGAATTTTGAATTTTTTATTAGCTATAACTTTTTGCATTTCAACGATGATGTTTGATACGTCTTTTTGTTCAGGGTGGCGATATACATTTGTATGTATGTATGTATGTGTATATCAATGCATAGTACGGGAAAACTTTTTCGTTCCATTTTACAAAATGGGTCATCAAACTAAAGCGCTGGACCTGTAGATGTGCAATGACGTTTTACTTTTCCAAAAAGAGTTGCCACCTGTTAAAAAATTTATTTGAAATTATTTATAAGTTAAACCAATTATTACAACTTACTTATTATCGATCGAAATGGTATTGAACAGGCTTTATATCTTAATTATATATAGGAGGGTTGCCGCCTGTTTACAAAGTTAAACTGAATGTATTCAGTTGGTAAATGAATTACTACTATATGGATATCAATCAAAATGGCTCTGAAAAAACAATATGCCTATTGAAAGACCTTTATTTCTAAACTACATGTAGCAGCGTTGCCACTTGTTAAAAAAATCAAGTTTAACCATAATTATGACAAATAGATAATTGAAATATATATCCCGGTATTCCGGTGCCAGACGAAAAAGATTGTGATTTGAAAATATTTTGAAGAGGGTTGCCACCTGTTTACAAAATTATTTTGAAGAGATCTTATTTCTAAACTACATGTAGGGTAGCTGCCACCTATTTTAAAATATAAATTCAACTTGAGCTACGTATTCTATGTTTGAGATTAGGGGCTGTGGCTTTGTGTATTGTATATCCGTATCGCAGCGCGCCTTCATTGCGTTCATTTGATTTAGTAATTTCAGCACTTGTGGCGTGATTAATTAAAGCATATTTTCAGCTCTGTGTATGTATGTATGTGTGCATAACTCTTAACTACATGTCTTAATACGATAGCTTTGATAATAATGTATTTAGTTTATTAAAATCAATAATCCGAGCTTGTGAGTATGGCGAGAAGAACTTATTCTTACATTTAATCAACATTTCATTCAAAGTGGTTCACAAATACATACATATGTATACGCATACATACACACTACATACAAGTACATATAAATACATACATACATATTACATAATTGTTTCTCAACTAATTACATACATATGTATCTGTTGTCAATGCATTCGATTTGCCGTGAACTTAATGCTTGTTGTTGTAAATCATTGATATTCAAACTTTTAGCAACTTTGCAAACATGTACTAATACTAAACTTAAATGTTCTTTTTACTTGTCCTGCAAAAGATCCAATCCTGGTACGCCCACCCAACCAAGACGACCCGATTTCATTGGTCTAAATACACAACAACAACCGTCACAGACTTATTACGAATATACGACTGGCTTGCCGCCGCAACATCCACAACCGCCTACCATTCAACAGCAGCAAATCATGTTGCAACAACAGCAACAACGTGCCATGATGCAACAGCATCAGCAACAACAACAGCAAGGTGAGAAAGCATACAATCGCAAATATAGTAAACGATCATTGCATGAAAATAAAAAGAAACGAAAAAAATTACTTGCCATGGCCAGCGCATTTAAGACCTCTAAGAAATCTAAGTCTAAATCTAGCAAAAGGCATAAAATTCGAAGCCCCAGTTGGTCCATATACTAAGTATGAAATCAAGTAGCTACTAATTCATTTAAAATCGTATGTACTATTTCGTATTTACTATAAAATTAAATGTACATACATATGTATAGAAGGACAAAAGGAGTGAGAAATAAGAATTATGTATATGAAAAGTCATAGTCAAAGAATGGAAAATACGCGCAATACAATTGGGCTTCCGCTATGCTAATCCCATCCGGCTCTTTTGGCCCAATCTTATTTGGCCAAGACTTATTTACTTACTTGTTTTTTCGCCTACGTGTATTTTGCTTATGTGCATCAGTACCGGACAACGCTACTGCGAGTTAATTCCCAGTTTGGTCAGGTGATAGTTCAGCCTGCAGTATTCTCAGAATGCCTGCGATAACTCGTAAGCTGATCTTGGATAGGCTTATATATTCCTTAAAGCGTTTTAAGTTTTAAGTTTCTAAAAATGCTTTGAAATGCTCTAGACCTGGGAGATGAAGAGGTTATCGTCAGTCTTATTTCCTTCAATACCAATATACCCCGCAATCCAAATTGCTCTGACCAAGTGTATTGAGCTTGTCAAGGCCCTCCATCACCTGTTTAAATGTTACCTGATAAGCTCTGAGGGCCTTAATAGCCTCTTGGATATCTGTCAAGATTGTGAGGTTCTGATTCCGGTAGTTTCGCGTGATATTAAAGTATGCGGATGTTTATGTAGCATATAGCGGTCCAACCACACTTATCAGACAATGAGCCATCAGTGTATCCGGTTATCATGCTTTGGTCTATCCGATATATTTCGACCCAGCTCTTCTTATTACATACTTACATCAGTTTTAAACCTTTATATTCCTTGATATTGCAATTTCCGTGTTGTGCATCGTCAGAATATCGATGTTGCTACGACTAAGCAAACCTTCTGCCCCGATGTTGGTACCAGCCATCCTCAGTAGAGCCCTTTTCGCCTGAGTCTGTATATGAATATGAAGAGGAGTAAGATCTATAAGAACTTCCAATTAAAAGTTCCTATGGCTCCATTGATGCTCAGAACATTCCATATTGCTGTCTTCGTATTTTCTAAAGTGGTTTTTGCAGAGCGGCCTGCCATGAATACGTGCTGAAACGAGTTCAGTGGCTAGTTCAGTAAGATTGTAGTCCTTACCTTTTCCAAGGCCTTCAGTACAAATGAGGTAAGACAGATGGGCCTGAATCATTTTGGATGACCTTTGAGATAACTTTTTTGAGGAAGACAACTACAAATGTGGATAAAGAAACTCCTTCGCGCCCATAAGCGGTTTCGCAGGTAGCCGGAGAGTTTTCTTGGAAATGTACATACATAGAGAACACGCCGAGGTGTTTAAACCTAAGCAACACAAATGCAGTGCAGACAAGAAGAAAGGGCTAAGATGATTACATCTCGTCATCTTCCACACAGCTGCTGGTTTCTATTGGGCAGTGCCTACTCATAATTCCGGCCAGGATCGAGAGAGCCATCTTGGATAGCCTAAGAAGCGCCTTGTCCGTTGGCGGTCCAGCAAGAACTACGAAGGCCTTGCAACTTTGCGTGTCGAAGTTTTGCCAGTGCTCACTGAGCTAACTTTAAGTCCACCCATCTGGACTACCTGCAAGTGAACAAGACGTTTTCTGCACCACCCTTGCCCCGAATAATTGCAGATTGCTTTGTTTTTGGGCCCAAACATACAAATGAATGTGATTTGAATGTATTCCCGTATGACCATTAAAAATGTCAAACTTTACGTAGACAATGCCAGATTTTGCATATTTCCGTTCGAGTTAGAATAGGAATATTCTCGAAGTCTTGAAAATCCCTTGCGCGGTGCACGGATTGCATGGTAAAACCGGTTTTCCCATGGGACGGCTTTGTAAACCGTGCGCCGTGAAAAGGCTTTGCATGACTTCGAGAATACCCCTAATAATGCAATATTTAAAGAGCAACCCTGTGTTGACCGCTATAAACCAGGCCACACTTTAAAACTTATCGCTCACGAAAATGTCGTCGGAACGGTTGGGGTTATTATGCGCTTACAACGTCGACCACATAGCTATTCATTTTTTTTAATCACATCTCACTTCTTTTTCCTTCTATGTAGCTCAAATCTAACCTGTTTAAGTTCGTATATCATAGTCGAATTCGCATTAATTTGTTCTTACATTTGGCACCTCATTCACAGTACCGCTAACACATCACCAGCAACAGGTGCTGGCCTCACAGGCCTACGGTGGAAGCCCTCAACGCCGCTTTCTCTCCGAAGGTGAACTAGTACGACAGGGCGGCAATGAACTTTCATATGCGCGCTCTAACAACACGGTAGATAATATACGCGAATTAGCGGGTAGTCCACAACGTGGCGTCTACATGTGGAAGGACACTTCGCCTGGCTTCAGTAGTAGCAGTGGTAGCGCCAGCGGCGGCGGTGGCGGTGGTGGCATGCCGCCCTCTTCCATGGGCATTGGCAGCATTGGCGGCTCAATAGCCAATAGCATACATCACGCACAGTACATCACAGTAGGCGGCAGCGGTCAGCCACATCCATTAATAATGACGCATTCGCGTATACACCAACCGGGCGAATATCTGCCGGTAGCTCAGCAACAGCAACAACAACAACAACAACAAAATCAATATCGTTCCAATCCGACCAGTCCTACGACGATGCCACCTACCTCGTCGACATCCGCACCAACCTATATGATGCGTTATGGTATTGGTAATCCCACTGCCTCACAGTCAAATAATTATGTGCACACATCACAAGCGATGACAAATTCTAACGCCGGCGGCTATCAGCCACAATTACGCGGCGGCGTTCCCGTTTTTCCACCAAATCCTAGTGGGCCCAGCGGTGGCGGCGTCAGTGGTGCTGGCGTTGTCACCCAACTACAAACACAGCCATCGCCTCAAGTGAAGCGAAAACAGACGCCAACACGTCCCATGTCATTTGTGCGCGCACTCGAAATGACCGACTCTATGGAGATGCAATCGCTGGAACAGCAGCAACAGCAAGGGCGCAGTGGCAATATGCCACCATCAGCAGTAGGTGGACCAGGCGCACAACATTTGGTGGGTGGTGCACGTACGACCACACCCACACCCGAACGTGCCAGCGTTTACGATATGAATTACGAAATCTCCGTATAACCCGTGGTTGTGCCGGTTGTCGTGCCACCCGCCTCTGTGACCATTTCGGCAACGGCAGCGGCGTATGCGCGAAAAAAGGGCGCAAGCGTTGTTGCCAGCACGGCCGAGCCATCGGCGTATGCGTCGGTGCCTGTAATGGCGGCAAATGCGCCCAATAGGCGCAAGTTCTCCACCTTCTTCTAGAGAAATACATTTATATATGTATGTGTGGTGAAGCCGTCTCACTTTTGATGGCTAATCTCATCGTTAAGTCAGCTTATCTTTAGAAATTATGAAAGAGAAAATTGTTGTGCTTTGTTTTTTACAACTTTTTACTACTACACTAAACCACTTCCTTTAATAGCAAGTCATCGCTTATGTATCATATACCACACTCTACGCTACCAAATACCACTATCCGTATCGCCAAATGTAAATAAGTATACAACCTAAGATACACCTCCTACGAATACTGCATATACATAAATATAAACATACATACATAATTAATGATAATAGTTGTATAAAAAAAAATATATCTTTAAGTGTGATTAATTATGCCACATCTATTGGTTATCAATTGCAAAATCGTATATATTGTATATTTTCATCCGAAGATTAGCCTGTAAAAGTTTTAAATGCATATGTATGTATGAATTGTAAATCAACTTTTATACATAAATATCGAGTCAACGAGCTCATAAAACCATAAAAGTATATACTATATGAAAGTGTCTATATAATATTAGTTATGGTACAATCAGGGCTATCACTGAATCTATCGTAGTCCGAATTTTATGAAAATCTTCGAAAACGCAGTCACTAAATTCGAATGGCTACGATAGTAGCATATTCTTTGAATGCATACGTTCATAGCAATTGGGATTCAGTGATTGGGCTACGATGGATTCAGTGATATCCCCGAATATGTTTGTCTAAACAAACAGATGACTAAACTAAGCAAATTTATGTGTATGCTTGAATGAGAGTAGCAGTAAACAAAAAAAAAATATATACAAAAAAGGTGTAGCTTCAATTCATGGAACATTGCGAGATAAAAGCAAACAGTTTTTGGCCGTACTTCTCGTTTATACGTACATACATATATACTGTGGTGAAATTTGTTTCGAACAAAGCTTCGGCTCGTATTGGCAAATTCCTACATATCATCACTACGATGTCGAAACTATCGAATGTGAAAATGGGTATTTTTCAGGAGAGCAGAAAAAACTGTTGTAAAAAATATTGTCATTAGGAAAAATTGCCAACTTGCATATCATTCTAAACGCATGCGCAAGGTATCGTTATTGAATAAGCATTTTTGCACATTCGATAGTTTGACATGGTAGCGACGATATATAGGTGCGACACATATTAGTTTCTTTAATTTTTACAACCACCATCTCCTATAACTTATTCCTTTAAGGAAAATAAACCTACAAAAGCCCTTTCAAATCATTTTTCGTGTAAAAGGGCATTTTACCGTTTAGCGAATTCAAAATAAAAACAGTTTGTAATTTACTTGAAAAAATAACGGTATGAAATTAATAGCTTTATAGGTACTATAATAAAATTTGTAGAGAACAAATTTGAGATATATTGAACTTTCAATAAAATTGGATGCAGGAGGTAAAGAACACAAATCCGCTAGCCCTTCTTTTATAAGCCATTTATGTATGTATGTTTGCTATCTGCAAAATTTAATTTTAACCCTTTACATGTGTGCACAGAAATTTAGGCATAATAAAATTCATGTTAATTGATAAAGTTTACCACATTTTTATCAGATTTTATTAATCCATAACTTTATTAACTTTATACGCGAAAAAAATTGTTCTGGCATTTAAAAGCTTTGGCATTCGTAGCTGAAATTTTTTATGTACGAATTTCGCCAGTGTTCCAATGTATGTATGTATGTATGTACTACCAATGCCCAAAATACTCTGGGGCTTTCATTCCGCAACACGTTTGATCGTTTACAGTGTTATGTCGTATATGTAGTGTAAAATACCATTTTGAATATTGTACATATTTGTTAAGTCATCATGCTGATCGTTCATTCTGACGACAACATTAAGCGCAAAAAAAAAAAGAAACTCCCATAGTCCATCCCAGTGAGGGTCCATACTATTTGGCTGGTTTCGATTAACCGAAACTGTGTTGGTATGGCTTGCCTTCCTTGTTATTATTTTCACGGCCATTAAAAGTATGCAGTCCATAATAGCGGCGGTGAGCTAGAGAAAGTTGAAAGTTTGTAAGATTTGTAAAGTGGCGAAATTATAATATGTATGTACATATGTTTTTAAAATAAATACAAAAATTCAGCGCTATGCAATTAACAATATTGAATTCACCTTAGTTACATCATATTGATGTTTAGATATATGTATATGTATTTGCAAAGAATCAAATAGGGATGGAGCAATTTTTGTTTACATACATATGTACCGCTGCCAAATACTATCAGCTAATCGTTTTTTGAACTTTCTCCACTTACCTACGCCTAGAAACTGTGAAACTGTGGAGAGTTTATGTGGCTTTAGGCATTTGATTTGCTTGTAAACAATTTATCTAGAATTGTAAGAAATCCGAAAAGTTGTTAACAACTTTGAAATTCATTATTTAATTGTACGATTAGTTCTTTTTTAAATTGTTGAACTTTATTTTATTAATATTTGTATGTACAAACATATATGTACGTATGTATATGAATTTATGTATGTAGCTACTAACAAATTATTGACATTGTTCAGTTCAGTTGTTTAGAACGGTGGCATTTTGGCAATCTAAAATGCGCTGTAGCTAATCGGATACGTTAAAATTTACTAAAAAATCGTTTAACATAAAAAATTGTTTAACTGATAGTGTGCTTATGTACATATGTACATACCTACATACAGATGTATGCGCATACAATAGAAAAAGTCATAAGAGCGCTCTTTGCATGACAGATTTAGTGGCGGTGAAATCTAATATCCCGCCAAAGCTGCGCTACAGAATTGCAAATTTAATCAGCTTCAGTTCTGCTATTAACGTAACTGCATGCAAGCTCATTTCTAAAACAAACTAAATCAACCAAATTTTAATGTAGAACTTAACATACTTCAAGTCTACTCGGATAAATTTTATAAACTGAAGCACATATTATGCTGCTACGAAAAAGAGGAAAAAATAACAAAAACAAGGGAATCATATTCCTTACTCTGCAACTAAACACGTCATCTATATTATTACGAATTTCGGTACGTGAAATGTGACTGCAAGAAATACATATAAAAGTACTAAATAAATCTGTAAGAAGCGTACTATATGTTAAATATTCTTCTCAACTAACTAGTGGCATTTAATTTATAAGCAAACAAGTAAATATTCAAAAAAAAAAGGAGAGAAGAACTGTAAGCACCTTAAAGGTAAAGTTATCAAAACAAAACAAACAACAAAAAAATTAATTAAAACATTAATTTAAAATTAATATAGTAAAAATTATAAAACTAC